CATAGATGCATATCCAATCAAATCTTTATTTCAGGAAAGGGTACGGAATAATGAAGGTGAAGTAAGAAGAGTCGTTAACCTGAATAAATCACGAGTGATGATAATTTACCTAAGTATGCAATGTTGATAATATCGACCCTAATAAATTATTTGTAACGAATCGGTAGGAAAACATTTTCTATGTAGAATTTACTAACATAACCACATTGATCAGATTCCAGAAAATCTGTAGCAGAACCGGTATAAAACTTATATTCTTCAAGAATTCTCAGAATCAACTCTTTCGTAAGTATTACCAAGATTTTGACTGCTTTTGAAACTACGTATGCTAGAATCTATACAATATCAATAAATTGCTACTCAATTTCCTTGAACTTGTGCCTAAAATAATTGTGTACGAAACTGGAACTAATACAACGAGAAAGTACCAAAAATATCCAGCTCTCATGCCCATATAAGCCATGAATGACGTCATGCACATCAGATTGGTCTATTTTCGCACTCCCCTCGGCGCTTGTCAGCATTGACTGTCTCGGCCCGATCGTATGTCATTCACCTCAACTATGTATTGTGTTTCTACAATGGGTAGATTGTGATACGACAGTTATTTGAACAAATCAACGAAGAAAGACTAGCTGGACCTATTTAAATATAGCAGTAACCCTAATCAGTAATTACTTGGATACTTTTTTGTGCTGGTTTGTTCGATAAACTCGGGTTGATCGATTAAGTTGTATCCATGGCTCTAAATAAGCCAATGAATGTATGTATACCCGGGAAGATCTTCCGGGTATTATAAGAGGATTATGTATGGTAGAGGCCCGAATAAAAGAATTCTGATGTAAGGGTTCTGTATAAGATGAGAATGATTGCAAAACAGACACTAATGTAATCGTTTTATTGCTTGTTTGTAAATACCATGACAATCTCTGATAATATTATGTGTAATGAACGTTTTGAATAAACGAAATAAATATTGAACTAGATTGTGAAACTGCATTTTCAGAATCAGATAAAAAGGCTTCCATGATCAATAAATTTTAATACGAGTCGTTGAAAAATCTGTCAATTTGCCATCGGTCTGCCAAACTTGGTACCTAAAAAACGGGAATTGGCAGGCTGCCAGAACAAGGCTAAGTAGAAAGAAAAATATTGTGCAGAAGTAATGCGACGGGAGAGCTTAGGAGTACATGATATCGATAAGCAGATGATACTGTGGCCGATTTAAATCCTAAACTGGATAAATGCTCCTCGACCACTGAGCTGGGTCCCTGCGTTTGAATACAAATGGACCGTTTATCCCTGAAAGCCAATCTGTATGCAAATTACAGGTCTGTTTAACTATTCTCGTTAGTTGCTCATTTTCGGAACGTCTGCATTTTCAGTTTGACTGAAATATAATCCTTTCGATTGTGGGACTGAGAGATAATTAGATCTCTTTCGTAGTAATTCAATTGAAAGGGTCTGTCTGTTGTTGATGATCTTATTTTCACTCTGACTGTAAACTTGCGTAAGTTTCATATAAAGGACAGTCGTTAAAGACCCCGAATTGGAGACCTATTTACTTAAGATCAGTAAATCTTTAACAGCCATACTTACTTCTATAAATAAATAACCTAAAACCGACCAAATCATTTTGCTATTAACTTTGGGCGTAACTTTTGCAAACGCCTCGCGATTTTAGTGTCTTTGCAAGAAGTTTTCGTCAACTTTTTCATCCCCTTTTTCCGGTTCCGCTAATGCGCAAACTTTTCTTCAGATACGCCGACACGCCTTGCGAAGTGACTTGTTCAAAATTTCATGAAAATCTATGAAAGCGTATATAATATAACTGCGTAGAAAGTATTACGACTAACTCAATGAAATACGAAATCGTATTCTATCTAGGTCCTAGTGAATATATTTTTTTAAATCGAAGGAATATTTTATTTGGTATCATAAAAATAACTTTCTATCTATACCAGGAGCTACCTACCAAAGATAGCAAAATTTTTTCATCGAATCCTCGAATTTCAAGTAATACTATAAATAACGACTAAATAACTTTTTTATATTGTGCTTTATCGAACCAGTAATAAAATACACTCCTCAAATGTTAACAGTTGAAAAAAATTCAAAACGCGTCGCTTCTCAAAAAGTAGTCCTGCCACGCTTTATTGTCATCATTCTATCATTCATTCATCATCATTTACCAAACGATTTTTCAATTATTAGAAATCATTGATATAAGTATAAGTCGCTCATAACATAGCTCATAATAATATGCTATATTACTGACAACAACTATAAGTGGCGCGACTTTATCCTTCCGACCACAATTCGACTGAAAGTAAGACCCATACAATGGAACGCTCGGTAACCAAATGTGGCAACATAGTCAAATACTTATGCATATTACACAATATTATTTCCAGAACACTAAAATGTTTCACTATTTTCAACATTTTTAAAGTATTTTAATGTAACGTTACCATATTTAAATACACACGTGGAATGGCAGGGATATTTGCATAGCGCAGTTTTGTTGCAGATTCTACAGGAATATTCATAAAAAATAATTTTGCTCATTTCTGTTATGGTATATTTAGGGATAATAAATAGGAATCTAAATAAACTTAATTTATTCTTACAGGCGGAAAATAAATATGTATCTTAAAGTAGTTATTATGATAATAACTATTGAAAGAATCTTAGCTACTGCTGTTACCAGTCTTTACAGACATTTTGAAACTCGGCCATAATTATTCACATTTCAAGAAATGCTGAACTAAGACAATTAAATAATGGAAGCGCCTACCGTCGCTACAATTGAATCGGCGTAATTGAGAACACGCCGGGAGGAACCCAGTATGAGTTGGCTCATTAGTAAGTATGAATAACTTGTTCGGAACTTTATTAACTATAGCCTTAAACCGTCTTACATAGTCATCGCTGAACATTGTAACAACAACTTTGTGGTGAGAAGGCTCCCACAAAGACGTGAATTTAAACAAGCTCTTGAGGAGTGTAAAACTGTCTTGAAAGACTTTTCGTGCATGACGTTCAGTTTTATTAAGTTCTACGAAACTCCAGTTGGAACACAGAAACTGTGATATTTTTCATGAAGAAATTTTAATGAGACGAATTCATATTCGAATACACATTAATTGGCTCCACATCATAAAAAAATATGTTTTTTTTTTTTTCAATACCGCAACTACGGTGCACCAATTTTAAAAATAAACAAATAATCTCCTGGGTATTAGAATGTCCACCGCACACGGTTTGCAAACGCCAAAAATAAACCATTGATCGGAAATGTACTGAACGTCCGACTCGGCCACAATTAATACATGCTTCGAACCAAATGGTTGACGCGGGAGTAAAACAGCTTAAACTGTGATGAAGTTCAGTGCAAGCTGATACGTATTTCAAATGATGAAGGGATAAAATCGCCTGTCAAATATCGGAATGGCTTCCGATCTAACCCCTGTTATAGAATCGTCTATGTGTTTCATGGACAGCAAAGGGCAGCGGCAGTGAGGTTTAATGACAACGGACCAATACAGAATCGAGGTCAACGTTAAGTGTCGCATTGGACTTGGCACGGTCCCTTAATTGAGCGGTTAACGTATGCTCGGAAGTATACTATGCACTAAGAGTAAAATTAATCAAATTGCTAAGAAGTCAATGTTTTGGTTAAGTCTGCTTGATGTTAAATTACTTTTGTCATAAGTAAAAAAATAATAGAACTAGCGTAAGGCTTGAAATGCGTAAAAACTTATTAGCAATAAAGTTTCTAAATGCCAAATGCGACGGAGACAACACTTCTATATTCGACAGTAATAATCAGAGAATGAATTATAAGCCAAACAAAACATTGCTTGCACATGACGACGGCGGCACAACATCTTGAGCACACAGAAGACAAATCTTGAACAAGAACTACGCAGCACACATCCTCACTGCTAGCAGACACACAACTTCCCTGCAATTAATGGAAAAGTTAAGATGTGGAACTGGCGACGCTACTAGTACCTACATATAACTTTCTGTATATATAGCTACGTACGTTGAATTGTTGAAACAGTTCGCTATGTTTGAAACCTTATAAACTTGAAAAAGCAATTTAATAAATAAGTGCTAGAATTTAAGTCGCAGAGAAAAATGTAATCAAAGACTTGAAACTTTTTTGCCGAAAATGGTAGAGTAATATTGAGGTGTTTATTTTAAAGGAAGAAATCTAGTTTGAAATACATCTAGGATTGTAACTATGAACTCTTATAAGTTTAGCTCTAATAACTGCACATCTAATTAAGGTCAAAGAAGAAAAGGTTAATTAATCATCGTTTATAAATCGGAGCACTGCCGCTGTTTCGATATCATTCATCAATGGGCCCGGTTTATTTGTTTTACTCTAAGCTTTATTAAGGAAATCTTTATTAGAGGAAGAGAAATTTTGGCACCCATCGTGTGAAACCCGTTGGTGAATTTGTCCGACCAGAGCGACGGTACGCAGTCGCTAAAATAACCAATTTGGGGACCCTCATCGCGCGTCACGAAGTAATGGATGGCTCTGAGCTCACTGTTGCGGTTATATTGGACGGGGAAAAAATTATATTTCGCTATTACCCTGTAAATTTTCCTGTAGCTACGAAATGTAAGAAACAACTCTACGAAGTGATTTCTGCCACGTGTATACATATACGTGCAAGAGTCAGAAAGCAGGAAAATAAGAAAATTATTTGTTTATCCCTATTACCTATTGTTGTCCGAACTCCATTAGAAAAATACTGCAAACGTTTACTGTCGTCATCTAAGTAAACATGAATCATAAAAACTATGGCTAATTTGTCCGGATGCTTAAATAAAACAATTACGTAACTAATACTAGTGACAAAAACAATCGCAGACTTGTGAACACCGTTCTATGTTAATGTACCTATGTTTTTAGCAAGTATAAAAATCCATGAGTTGAAGCAGTTCCTGCCCCATCCATTACAGAGGCCTCTGGAGAATACCTTTAGCTTTAAACAAGCTTTGTACCATTTTTCTTGGTGCAGATATATACGGACTTACATCTTTTCTTCTCGACAAATTGAATTATTTAGACTACACGGACGTATCGATTATAAAAACATATTGAGCACATTAACTTAGAAAATATGTGCGATTTATTATAAACTTCAACAAATTATCAATGATCTGCTCCTTCGCATGTCTAATTTGCCTATTCACCTTTAGTTGAGGCCCTTTTCAGTGGTATCTTGACAAATAATTAATTATTATCATCTCGATAACAATTTAAATAAAGAACATTCCTTGTTGATCTCAAGATGTATATTATATGTGATAGGTACTAAGTAAATATCCAATAACTTTACCAAGAAACTAAACGAGCTGGAATAATTTTGAATCGGATTGAATTGCAAAAATACAAGAACGGCTCCCCAGAATAGTACACCGCAAAAGCGGTTATGTATTTAAAACAGCGAGTGAATAGTCCTTGGAAGAAAATAATGGTAGATATAAAAAATCCAATTTTGAGAAACACAACTACGCATAGTACATTATTGAAACTGTTTTCAATGCCTACATTGTACCTATACTTATTACAAAATGTAGATAATAAAAAAGCAACACGCGATTGAAAGGCAGACATCATGGCTGCGGGTCTCTTATAATGAAAGAATGTCTTAAAATTAAACGTCTGTCCTCTTCTAACTAAGGCCACGTACAAATAGTTCCATCCGAAACCTTTGGGCCAACGTGCTGCGTTTGCAGATCGTCGGCCCTTCATTAAACTCGACGGCAAAAAGTGAGACCTCATCTAATCTGCAGTTGTCCCTTCTTGCTTTGCAGCTGGTCCCGTACTCATGTACTTGACCCCAATTTTATCTACTGTCCAAATAAATTCGCACACACAGAAGACCTCCCCGTGGTGCACCCTGGGTGCGGGCGACAGTCTCCCTAGCGGGGGTGATAGGGTTGGAGTGACTGTCGCCCGCAGCAGACTTCTGGACTGGGCGGGCGAACCCGATAGGGTTCTGGAGGCGGCGGGCTGTGTGCGGAGGCTCATAGCCCGCGCTTCCGAGGGGTGTTTCTCCGCCCGTCTCTCTGGACATAGCAGAGAGCGTGGCGGAGAGGCAAAGGCGGTGCTCGTTATGCACTCACCCTGCCAGCGAGCAGCATCGGGACACAAGCTGTCCCCGATTGCAGCCGTCGATATCGTAATCCGTAAGGAGATCACGGTCATGTTTTGTGACTCTGAACGGGACGAGGGTCTTGGCTTGGTCGCCCGGACCGCGAGGAAGATAACCTCTATAAAAAATTCCTCCAATACTAAGTTCTGGTGCGCGGCGAGAGTATGCATGGCTGAGGAGTAGTGTCAGTCGCGAGCGCACCCCCAGCTAGGGGACCAGTGGAACCTCTAGTTGGGAAACAAATTAACACTTACCCAGGTACAGGGGGCACTGCCTGGGTGGACCGAATATTTCCCCCATACTCGTGGGAACTTTATGGAATTGAGTAATAAATAAAAACCACACAACCGGAGGAGGAGAGTGCGGGTGAGCTTGGCTCGCCTGCAGTAGCAGGAGAAGGGAGCCCAAGTGGCTCCGGGACTCGTGGTGAGGCGCTGACTCGTCCAGCAGGCCCCACACACGGGAGTCCAGTCGGAGGGGGTCGGACTCTGAGTCCGACACAACATTAGCGGAGCGGCTGAGCGTGAGCTCGAAAGGCTCACGCCGCCGCGCGACGGGGACGTTCAAACGCCCCCGGCTGGAGGAGGACAGTTTGTCCCCGTCCTCCGGCGCTCGGGAGGCGCCTCCCCCCAAGGTCCCCACGGCAGCGCGGGGTAGGGGCGGCAAGGGCAGCGGTCGCCGGAAACCGGCACCAGCTGCCTGCGCGGAGTCAGCCGAGCAACTGGCTGCGGAGGGCAGGGCTCTTTCGAGCACTGCCCGTTCGGAGTCCTCTGCGGCCGAGATGTCCGGCGTGGAGATATCGGAGGGCGAGCGCGGCTCTGAGAGCGAGAGCTGCTCCGGGGGCCTCGAACAGGCCATTACGGCGGAGCTCTACAAGCTGGCGATGGGGAAATCCCAGCCGGTTAGGCTCCGCCTCCTCAAGGCGGCGGCGGCCCCATTACGGAGGCGGCCTTGGAGCAACGTGCGGTGCCCACTGCGGGAAACGTGCGCTCTGAGCTGGCCGAGATGCGGCGAGAGCTGGCGCGCTTGGCGGCCTCTAACGCGGCTCTGGAGGCCGAGCTGCGGACGGCCAGGGCCGAGCTCGCCGCTGCTCGCGGCAGTCGCCCCCAGCCCCCGGCGGAGGCCGACGTAGTCGGACTGCTGCGGGCGGAGATGGCTGCCTTCCAGCGACGTTTCGACGTGCTGGAGGGTAGGCTCTTGCGGCCCCCGCTCGCGACGAGTCAGGTCGCCCCCGCGGTCCCGCGGTCGTACGCGGCCGCTGCGGCCAAGCCTTCGACCTCGGGTCAGGCTAGCCGCAGCTCCCAACCGCCGGCAAAGGCGCGACCGGCTGCCCCAGCGAGGGCCTCGGCGCCCCCGCCGGCGCAGACCCCGGCTGCGCCGACGGCGCCTGCGCCTGCGCCCGCTGGGCGCAAAAAGAGGAGGGGCACTCCGGCCCGGCAGGCTGGAGTTGCGGCGGCGGCGGCGGAACCCGCCCCGCAAGCAGAGGATGGCGGCGGATGGCAAATCGCCGGCGAGGCGAGGAGAGTCGCCAAGGAGGGCCGGAAGCGCCGAAAAAAGGCGCAGCGGCAACGACGGCAGCAGCAGCGCAGGGAGAAACGCGCTGCTGCCCTGCTCCTCGCCCCTAAGACCGCGGCTGTGGTCATCACCCTACAGCCTGAAGCGGTCAATAGGGGCGTCACATATGGCGACGTCCTCGCCAAATTAAAGGGGGCGGTGACTCCTGCGGAGTTCGGGGCCCCGGACGGGTTCGCGGTCAAGGTGACCGCTACCGGAGCCCGTCTTTTGGAGGTCCCCGGCGCGACCAGCGGCCCATCGGCCGACGCCCTGGCCGAGAGGCTTAGGGCGTGCCTCGGTGCGGACGAGGCCCGCGTGTCCAGGCCACCAAATGCCTGGATGTCAGGATTTTGGGCCTGGACGACTCCGTCACGGAGAGTGAGGTGGTGGCCGCTGTGGCCAGGACGGGAGGGTGCCCTGCTGACCAGGTCAGGGTGGGCACCATACGTCCGGACAACTCGGGGCTGCGCACGGTGGTGGTGAGCTGCCCCGTCACAGCGGCCAAAAATTAAAGGAGGGCAAAAGGCTCTTAGTGGGATGGGTCTCGGCGCAGGTCAAGCTGCTCGAGACCCGGCCTCTGAGGTGCTATCGCTGTCACGTGGGGGAGCACGTGAGTGTCAAATGCACCTCGGAGGTGGACCGCAGCGACTGTTGCTTCCGCTGCGGTCGGCCCGGTCACAAGGCCGGCTCGTGCAACGCCCCGCTGCACTGCAACGCATGTGCAGCGGCTGGCAAGCCGGCCAATCACCGGGTCGGGAGCAAGGGCTGCTCCCCTCCTGCTAAAAAGGGCAAAGGTAGGCCCTCCGCCGCCCCTGCCGTTTCCGCCGCCGCCGCCGCCACTGCCACCGCAGTCGCCGCTGCCGCCACTGAGGAGATCGGAATGGACTGCCAATAATGGCCCCATTCCGCCTCCTCCAGGCAAACATCAACCGCTGCGCCGCTGCTCAGGATCTCCTGCTCCAGAGCATGGCGCAGTGGTCGATCAATGTCGCCGTGGTCTCCGAGCCGTACTTTGTCCTGCCCAGGGATCACTGGGTGGCGGACCTGGACGGCTCGGTGACCATCATCTCGTCGGCCGCCGCCGGTACCCCGACTCTTGAGGCTGCTCAAAGAGGCCGGGGTTGTGTCGCAGCACGGTTCGGAGAGCTCGCTGTGGTGGGCGTGTACTTCTCTCCGAACCGAACTCTCGCCGAGTTCCACAACTCCTTGAGGGAGTTGGTCACTGTCGTCGTCGGGTTCCGTTCCCTCCCCGTGCTCGTCCTCGGGGACTTCAACGCCAAAAACTTGGCTTGGGGTTCCCGGTTCACCGACGTCCGGGGTAGGATGGTGGAAGACTGGGCCCTTGAGACAGGCCTAGTCGTCCTGAACCGGGGTTCTGTCCCCACGTGTGTGCGGATGCAGGGCGAGTCGGTGGTGGACATTTCGTTCGCCAGCCCTGCTCTGTCACCGCGTATTGTTGGCTGGCGCGTCATGGAGGAGGTGGAGACGTACTCCGACCACCGGTATATCCGGTTCGACGTCTCCGCCGAGTCCGCAGACCCGCCGGTCAGACAGGCCCCATGTGGCCCGCGTTGGGCGCTGAAACAGCTGGACCGGGAGCTGCTCCTGGAAGCCGCCATCGTGCAGGCCTGGGTGATACCACCGGTCAGGCCTGCCGACGTTGACGATGAGGCCAAGTGGCTCCAGGACGCCATGTCCAGGATCTGTGACGTGGCGATGCCCCGGATCCGGTCGAGGCAACAGAAGCGCCAGGTGTACTGGTGGTCGCAAGAGCTGGCGGCTCTGCGCAAGGCGTGCACTACTGCGCGACGCCAGTACACTAGGCACCGCAGGCGCCGTATCCGTCCTCCTAATGCGGAGGCGAGAGAGGCGGAGTTATACGAGGGATACAGGGCGGCGAAGGCCCTCCTCAAGGCGGAGATATTGCGGGCCAAGGAGGAGGCCCGCCGAGAGATGCTGGGGACTCTGAATAGAGACCCGTGGGGACGCCCGTACCTGATGGTACGCGACAAGCTCCGTGCTTGGGCTCCCCCGCTCACTCAGAGTCTCCGGCCAGAAGTCTTGGAGGAGGTGATTGGCGCCCTGTTCCCCGACTGTGGAGGGGCTTCACCCCTCCGTATATGACTCCGCCCCCTGCGGTGCCCGACGCGGGCTACAGCGACGACGACGATGACATCGTCCCAGAGGTGACCGAGGCAGAATTGAGAGCGGCGGTGCGCCGGATGGGCGCCAAGAACACCGCCCCAGGACCCGACGGCCTGCATGGCAAGGCATGGGTCCTGGCCTCAGAGG